ATCCTCTTTCCATCCCACATGAGCTACCACAGCATCCTGGAGAGATCATTACATGGCTCATTGGATTATAAGAGAGAAGGATAAGAGAGTGAACAAAGTGTGTCTAAGTGTGTAAGAATAAAGATAGGCCTGGGTTGAATGTGAACGTGTGATCTTTAAAAAAGATTATGTATGTATGTATAGCTTTCCTAGCTCTTTGATGCACCAATCAGCAATATTAACCAACTCACCAGGGAGACGTTAATATCTAAGAAAGTAATCCTCGCTGCTAAAAGGAACTAGGGCTTATTGGAACACAGCATCTAGTAGTCACCAAGATGGTTTTGGTCCACAGATGATATTAATGGTTATTGTTGGATGAGTCTCTTTGACAGAGAAGTTATTAGTGTAGTCACTCTGTTCTGTTGTTGAACAGGTTTTGAGAAAGGTCTTATTTCTCTGGAGGGAGATCTTTTCCAGCAAAGGAGAGATTCCCAATATATCTTTATAGATATAACACCTAAACATTACTCATGAGGTGACTTAGACCAAAAGCATTCCTAAGAGAAAGTACCATTTGGTACCCCAGAGGGAAGAATGTTGAAAACATTTACAGATCTGTTCTCAAAAAGCTGCTAAGCTCTCTATCACTGATGGCTTCTCACGGTGACGCTAGAGGCCTCGACGTTTCACCACAGTGTTGGTGAATCCAGCTGGCTCCTTCCTGTGAGGTTTAAGTGGTGTGTTTCTTTAATGAACCTCGAGTGGATCCCTTCTCCAGACTACAGAGCATGGCATGGTTGATTGCTGAGGCTTCTTGTTCTTGCGAATGAAATTCCTTGACATATTTCATTAGTGTTCTGTAATTATATAGCCAGATGTTCTTCCATAGTTGTACATCAGCAGCCACTGGTTTTTAGCAAAAATCTCATGGGCTCTCCTATCAGTGTTTCAAAGGGGAACATGAGCATCTGGGGCAAGATATTAGCTTATTTTTTGTATTCCTCTTTTGCTGATTCTGGGTGATGTCGGCAGTGGAAATGTTGGCTCTGTAAGACTCTCTAGACTTCCTGAAAATGTGTGGTCATGTCACCAAAAGTGGTTGCAGACTCTTAAATCTGGAAATGAAATCTTTGATTCTAGGTAACGGTGAGCATATCAACTTATCTACGAAAGCATACATGCAATAAAGCATAAATAATGTTTGTTTTTAACTGGGTAAAACCAACCGTGATATAGTACTAATTATCAGAAAAAAATTTCTAAGTCTCCCCTTTTTTGAGGGTCCTGAACTTCTGGCTTTACTCTTCATATGTCTCTGTTAGCTATATAAACTTCATTCTCTCTCTCTCTTTAGGCCTAAAAAGCACAGGGAGCTGCCAGACAGTCTCGTTTCTTTGTCCTGTATGAGATTTCCCAGGACCATTGCTTCCCTGCTGCGGTGTGTAGAATCATTTCTCTCTAAAGTGCCCTGGTTCTGTTACAGGAGAATAACAGCAGCACCCGAAATCCATGTGCAAAGCATCCATGTTTAATTGTTTCTTACAAGTCTTTAAGTGTTAGGTTGATCCAGCTAGTTGGTATGCCAGTGAATGAACTAGGCAAAATGTTATGTGAAGCTTGGCTAAAATTAATTTCTTAATTGTCGATAATCAGTATGAATTAGTCAGCATTATTCACACTTAAACTAGTGGATGAAAAAATGAAAAAAAAAAATGAAGTTGCCTTTGGTTGACCACCCTTTGGATATATTTTCACTAATACTGAACAGGTTAATTTGTTCTTGAGTAATAATTTTCAGTTCTAATGCAATCATATAAACACTTGCCCTGTATTTTAGTTCTATAATTTAAGTTCAGTTTCAGGGGATTGGTATTTCAATCTGACAGTTCTTACTTAGTGGCACCTTTAGCTACAGCTCCTTACTAGCTCTACCAGCCCACTTTATTGAGTGGAAAAAATATGAGCACTTTGAGCTACAGGAATTTCACTTATCTGACACTTTCTGGTCCACCTGCAGTGACCCAATACATGGTTATATATAAAAGGCTCTCATACAGTACAAGCTCCCTGTCAGAGAAGCTTATTTTCTTTATTGAAAAAGAAACTATAGTAATTTTATTGAAATCTATGTTTTAAGTGAACACATATCAAACTTAGAATATTTTATGTGTATGTATATGTATGTATGTCTCTTTCTGGGCATTTTGTTCTATTCCATTAGTCTGTTTCTCCCTGCACCAAAACCATACTCTTAATTACCGTAGCTTTCTAATAAGATGATATCTATTAGGGGTAGAGTCCCCTTGCTTTGTTTTCCAAGAGTGTCTCAGCTTTTCTTAGACTATAAATCTAAAGATCAATTTGGGGAGATTTGACATCTTGTCATCTTCAAACCAGGAATATGGTGTTTATCTCTCTGTATAATGCTGGTGCCAAATTGGCAGTTATGCCCGAAATTTAAAATAGTTTTGAAAAAAAAAATAAATAAAATAAAATAGTTTTGAATGTTCACTTATTTAGGTCTTCTTATATGTATTTCAGTAAAGTTTTATAATTTTCACATCTTTTATTAGATTTATTTCTTGATGTGGTTTTCTGTTGCTGTATAACAGATTACACCCTCACTTCATGGCGGGGTGGGGGAGAATACCTCAGTGGCTGAAAACAACAATAAACATTATTTTACAGTCTCTGTGGTTTAGGAATTTGGGAGGAGCTTAGCTGGATAATTCTGACTCAGGGGCTCATGAGGTTGCACTCTATTACGTCAGCCAGGATTGCAGTCTTCAAAAGCTTGACTGGGGCTGGAGGATCCAGTTTCCAGTGGCTCACTCATGTGACTGCCAGGTCAGAGCTGGCTGCTGTTGGCAGGAGACCTCAGTTCCTCTCAGCTTGGGTCTCTCCATAATGCTACAAGTATTCATCTTTGCAGTGTGATGGCTAGATCCCCCCAGCCAAGAGCATGCATCCCAAGAGAGCAGGGCAGAAGCCACAGTCTTTTATGGGTAGCTTCAGAAGTCATACTCCAACCCAGTCTTCTAATAGTTACTGGTGGCAGCCCTATTCAACGTGGGATGGCATTGCATAAGGGCATGAATTCCAGGAGGCAAGAATCACATTCAGAGATTGCTACCACTGATGCCATTTAAGTCATTTCCTTTATTTCATTTTCTGGTCATTGCTACTACAATCAATTTCTATTTTGTTTATTTCTCTCTTACAATAAATGTACCCAGCAACGTTGCTAACTCTTATTATTCTACTAATGTATGTATGAATTCTTTTAAAATTTTTTAATGTAGACTATCTTTTGCAAATAGTATTTCCTTTTCAAGTTGCCACTCCTTTTATTTTTTTTCCTTACTTACTGTGCTAACCAGAACTGACAATATCACAATCATCTCTGAATAATGTCTTCGGTTTTTGCTTTTCAATCTTTATTCCTTTTATTTCTTGTCTTACTGGCCAGACCTTCTGTATAACGTTGGATAAAAGCAATGATAGCAAGTATCCCTGTATCATTCTTGATTTTAAGAACATATATCAACTGTAGGATTTTTATAGATACCCATTATGAATTTAAATACTATCTTTCCTAGTCCTAGTTTGCTAAAAGGTTTTAAATCATTCAGCGGATGTTGAATTCTAACAAATGCGTTTTCTGTACGTATTTTCCTCATATTACATTTCTCCTTTGGTCTATTAATGAGATCCATTTGTTTTTTTGGTTAGTTTTGTGTGTGTGTGTGTGTTTTTTTTTTTCATGTTAAAGCAGCCTACTTCCCTGGAGGTCCAGTGATAGGACTCTGGCTTCTCTTGTAGCTCAGCTGGTGAAGAATCTACCTGCAGTGCAGGAAACCTGGGTTCAATCCCTGGCTTGGGAAGATCTCCTGGAGAAGGGGAAGGCTACCCGCTCCAGTATTCTGACCTGGAGAATTCCATGGACTGAATAGTCCATGGGATCGCAGAGTCGGACACAACTGAGCGCCTTTCCCTTCACTGCACTGCTGCGGGCCTGGGTTCAATCCCTGGTCAGAGAACTGAGATCTGTCAAGCTGTGCAGCACAGCACAGCCACAAACAAAAGGCAGCCTCGTGTTCCTGGTGCCGGCAGCCACCCCAACACAGATGAGGCCCAGAGTGGCGTGTGCGGACTCAGGTTCCCCTCTAAGCACTGGTGTCTCCAGGAGGCCAGGTCCCAGCCAGGCAAGGGAGCTTTTCAGCAGACTGTATGGCTCCCTGTTTCATGTATGCCAGCGATGGCCTCTGTCTCAGCTGATGGTGCAATTCTCAAGGATGGAGAGGGATATGGTATGTAAAATAAGACTATACCTTGTTGGCACACACCACGCTTCCCAACTTCTAAATCAGCCCATGAATTGTGATATGAGGGAAAGGAAGGAGGCACATATACTCTAGGCCCCAGCTGTTATGAATGGGCAAAACCAAAAAGACCCAAGGAACTGGTAAGAAATTCACACTGACTTCCTTCACCACTTCAAACTATGACCATTATGAAGCTTGATTCAGAAGCAAAGGATTCACCTCCCAAGGACTGTAATGCCCATAGGAGGAATCTAGAGATTCTTCCTCAGGTGCCTGGAGTGAATGGACTTTATAACCACAGTTCATACAGGGAGCAATAGTCAGGTCTCTGAAACAAACTTTCAATGTCTTGTAAGCAGTGTTACCCAAGGGGCCAGCTCCCTTGAAAGGAGGTAGCCAAATAACAGCTGATGGGCATCCTTGGGGGCAGAGGTTAGTAATTCCCTCTGCCTTGAGCCCATGTCAGTCGTCACCTTGATGATTTCACTGCTGATAACATTTATGAAATGAGAATCATTTTGGGGTCTCTACCTAATCAGACTCTCAGGTCTGGATTTTTCTTGCCAAGCATTGGTAAAAACAGGGACTCAGGACATTCAGACCTAGAAAGATACCATGTGAAGCCCACTATCTTTGATGGCGGCCTGGTGCATATTAAACACTTAATCCTCTTGATCTTCTTTTTTCAAACAGATCCCGAATCAGCAAAGTAGAGCTCTTTAGGTCATTCCAGAAGCTGCTAAGCAGTATTTCAGAGGACAAGTGGCCAGACTCACTCAGGTGATGTCATTGACCTGCATTTTTCATACTTAGGAGGACTTCTCTTTTACTTCTGCTTTTGAATGGCAGGAAGTTTTGGCAGGAATGGTGTTTCAGTAGGCCAGTGAGTGCTTAGTACTGACCGCATGCTCTTCAGCCCCCATAGCCCCAGCTGCAGACATGTGTGATCTGAGATGTGACAGGTGCAGAGTTGGTGGGACAGAGTCACAGAGCCTGCGTGCAGAATTGGGGCCTGGCCCATTCCAGGTCCTGCTTTATTCCACCTCCAGATGGAGAGCGCTGTGAAAATGGGAATGCTGAGGTGTCAGTGTATTCTGTTTGGAATATTATTCTCTTTTTCTTTTCAATCAGTGGCTGTGAACTAAAGCTCGTTGACTTAAATTACTTTTCAAACAGGAATGTAGAGACTATAAAACCACTTCATGAGCAGGTGGGTGGGTGGAATTCAGATGCTAACAGAATTAGGCCAAATCTCACTGGGTAAGGGCACAGTCCCCAAAAACTGACCTCACTTGGTAATACCAGCTACATTCTAGGGGGCCCCAAAGCCACTTACGCTTCTGACCAACTGACTACAAACTCAGGTTCCAACTACCCCCTCAGGTTCAGTAATCACTAGAAAAACTCACAGAACTCAGGAAGGCACCATACTTTCAATTGCCTTTTATTGTAAAAGATACAAATAAGGACCAGATAAAAGAAAGGACATACAGGGCAAGGTCTGCAAAGGTATCCAACCTGCTACTGCTGTGTCCCCAGGATGCACCACCCACCATGTCACCCCAGCATGTCACTGTCTGTCACCAACCAGGAGCCTGACGCACGTTTTAGTGCCCAGAGTGTTTATTGGGGTTTCATCATCAAGCATGAGTTATGGAATCACTGGCCACACGATGTGACTGAACTCAATCTCTACCTTCTCCTCTCCCCACCCCAGGATGTCAGATATCAGATGACTCAGAGCCCCAGCTTTCTGATCTCATGGTTGATCTTTCAGCCACAGCCAGCCCATCCTGAAACTATCTAGGGCCCACCATGAGTCACCTCATCAAGCCAAAAGTTGAGATCCGAGGGGTACACTGTGAATAACAAAGACACTCCTATCATCAAGGAAGTTCTGAAAGTTTAGAGGTTCCCTCCCAGGAACTGGCAACAAAGACCAGCCAAGTTCTTTTTTATAGAACAGTGGGGAAGCCAAGGAGTAGCTAGACACTTCCGTATGAAGAGGCTACTACCTGTTTTCATCATGTATCCTGCAGTCAGTGTCGATGCCCTCCAGTCATCCATGGTCAGTTTGCTTGTTTCTTGTCTGGAAGAGTCAATCAGATTGGAGCTGGGTAGGTTGCTATATGTTCTATGCATTAAAACAGATCTGGACTTAGGTAAGGAGAGACTTCATTTGAAGGCTTTGTTGCAAGAAGAGACGGGGCCTGTTTCAGTAGGCGGAGAAGGACTAATGCAGTAGCAAGAGCATCGCAATCTTAAGGTCTGTAAGCCTCTCGAAGAGCAGGTGCAACGGAGAAGTTCTGTCTAAGCAAAGTTAGAGCTGGAAATGGGGGAGTGGGGTGAGCAGGTAGTGTGACAGGACCATTGAACAGGAAGTGTCGGTCCTCAGGAGGGGCTGTTAAACCTGCCTACACTGGCTCAGGCAGAGAGCGGCTCAAAGTTCAGAGATCTGCAGGAAGGAGAGAAGCATAACTCGTAATTAATATTTGATCAAATTAGCAGGCATGGTGACTAGATTTCGTCAGTGGATACAAACAGTTCAGCTAATCATTAAGAGACAAAGAATGGGTGTTTGGAGGGTCTATGTCTGCCCTTGTCACAGGTAAACCAGGGGGGCATCCATGAGTCTAAGTAATGAAGAAAGGTAGTTCTTTCCAGTCTGCCATTTCCCACAACACACAAATATAGGAGGGAGGTTTCTTAACCATCGCTTGTTTTAGGAACTGAGGGCTCAGGTCAAGTTTAACATTGTCATGCATGTAGCTCCCATCCCTTAACCATGGAAAAGCTGTGGGAAATTGATCAAAGGATTAGAATCAGTGTCTGCTACAATTAGCAACTCTGTTACAATTAGCTCTGTGCTGTAGTGAGTGAAGAAACAACTTGGGTCTCCTAAGATCTTGGCAAAGAAGGAAAGAATAGAAGCAGGGTAAAACCTGAATCAATGAGATATGAGCCTCAGTTTCTTCAGCTATGAGATGACAAGTACATAGTTCAAGGTCAGAGTTGGGTCAAGAAGAGGACTTTGAGAAGCCTGACTCAAGTCTGAGCAAAGGAAAGAATCTTGGTCTCAAGAAAATCTTTTTATCTGGGTGTAAGTAAGACATTACTCAGCACATTAGCCTTTCTTCAGCAGTCAGAGACACTGAAGGATTTGGGAAGGGTGTTGGCTTTCATTACTCAGGAGAATATGACTAAGGTGAAAAGTACTTTGGGAAAATGCAGTTGAGAAGTTTCTAACGGCTCGATCCTGACAGTGAAGATTATAGCCACGTAGAAAACTTTAAACCAAGTAGTAGATAGTTATTCCTTTTTATCTGATTCCACCAGGACCGAAAAAAGGGAAGGAAAAAAAAAAAAACAGACTAGTATTCTGTTTATTTTACCTGTTTTAATCCCGTGTTGTTTCGTAGTGACTTTCCTACAAAGGAGCTAAGAGTCACTCTAGGACAGCATAACAGAATCCTTCCATTCCTAAGTGTCCTGTAATAAATGTGTCTGGCCAGTCGCTGAGGTGTCTTGCTGGCCACAGTGGCGAGCTGTCCAGTGAGAATGTGTGTGCTCGGTGGTGTGTGTGCATTAGGGCGCAGAAGCTGGCGACGTACCAAGACTACAAGGAGGCTGCATCCACTTACCAGCAGGCCTGGAGCGCACTCCGGAAGCAGGCGTTTGGATCCTGGATCAGAAATCCCCCAGATTATCACCAGTTTATGTGAGCAATGAGTTGTTTTCCATTCGTTCATCCTGGACTACCATCTTCCTACATGCTAAACAGGTCTTAGATTTTCTTGTGGCTGATCAGGAAAAAAGACTGACATCTACCAGAGCGATAGATCTCTTCTATGTCGGATGGAATTTTGGACATGAAACAATCTATACCTGATTGAACTATGCTTTCAAACTGTGATGCTGGAGAAGACTCTTGAGAGTCCCTTGGACAGCAAAGAGATCAAACCAGTCAATCCTAAAGGAGATCAGTCCTGAATATTCATTGGAAGGACTGATGCTGAGGCCAAAGCTCCAGTACTTTGGCCACCTGATGTGAAGTACTGACTCATTGGAAAAGACCCTGATGCTGGGAAAGACTGAAGGCAGAAGGGAAAGAGGGCGACAGGATGAGGTGGTCGGATGGCATCACCAATTCAATGGACATGAACTTGGGCAAATTCTGAGAGATGGTGAGGGATAGGGAGGCCTGGTGTGCTGCATTCCATGGGATTGCAGAGTCAGACACAACTTGGCAACTGAACAATAACAGTACTTTAGCTCTCTTAAAATAGCATCTTGCTAATGACCTTGGTGTGTGTCCTGTATTTCATTTCTTCTCTAAGAATAAGAATTTGGAATGTGATGCTGTAAAAGTACTCTGCACCAGCTCCACTTCCTGTGTTCCTCATTGATTCAGCAGGTATTTATTGGGCTGAGATGATGTTTGAATCTCTGCAAATTTTAGAGCTTTACCTGTCAAAATGGGCATGTATTTTGTATACCCAGCCTTGCTTCCTTTGAAGAACCATCCTTTCCTGCTTTATCCCTGAGACTGGAGTGAAGCGAACTTTCCTCATTGACTCTAGCAGGAGTTGAAGTTGGAGTTGGCTCACGCCAACACTGAACAGTCCTGGAACTAACACCAGGGCATCAGGAAAGATGCCCGCCCTTCTCATATCAGGAGCTGTAAGCACCAGGTAACCTGACACTGCCTGGGGCTGCCTTTGCCCACTGCACAGCCAGCCAGCTGGAGAAGGAAGGTGATGAATGAAACAGCCCAGAGGATGAAGGCTCTTGTGACCTTGTCTGGATGCCTGAAACTAGTGCCCACTCTGGACTTCAATGATGAGACATAAATTGCTCTCGTTATTTTGAGTAAGCTCGTTTGACTCCGTTTTCTGTGACTTTCATTGGAAAGAGTTCTGTCTAAAAGGCCAAACAAAAGTCCCTATAGCACCTCAGCAGCACACCTAGAAACTAGGCCTGTTTTTACTACCATCTAATATTTAACTCTCAGCCTCTTCACACTCTAACATACTGACTGCAAGTGGAAGCTCTCCATGTTGGGATTACTCAAGGACCTTGTTGGTTCTTTAGTATTTCTTTATAGCTTTAAATATTTTTAATAACAGCTTTATTGAGATGTAATTCACATACCAAAAAATTCACCCCTTTAAAATGTACAGTTTAGTGATTTTTAGTATATCCACAAAGATGTGCAAAATCACCACAATCGATCTTAGAACATTTTTGTTCTAAACTGGGGGTGGGGGGTGCTATCTGACCCAGTACAGTACCCATCAGCAGCTGCTCCTCACATCCCCTCAACACCCCCACTAACCCCAGGGAAGCAGCAGTCTACATTATGTCTGTATGGATTTGCCTATTCTGAACATTTTATATAAATGAAATCATACAATATGTGGTCTTTTGTGACTGGCTTCTTTCATTTAACATGATGTTCTAAGACTCATAATGTTGTAATGTGAATTGGTAACATCATTCAGTACTTTATTCCTGTTTATGGGGTAAAAACCACATTCAGTTCTATGGATATACCACATTTTGTTATCTAATCATCAACTGATGGACTTTTAGGTTATTTCCACTTTTTGGCTATTGCGAATATTGCTGCTGTAAACATTCATGTACAGGTTTGCTTGTGAACATATGTTCTTAATGTTTTTTAATTGCAGAAGTAATACATAAGGTCTCTTTTTTTGCCTTGTTACCATTGTCGCTTCGGGCAGGGGCGGGGGCAGGACGGGGAGCTGCGTGGCTTCTGAACTCGCAGTTCCCCAGTCGGGGACTGAACCCAGGCCTTGCAGTGAGACCGTCGCGTCCTAGTGACTGGACCGCCAGGAATTCCCCAAGGTTTTCATATTGAGCTATCCTTGAACCTTATTCTATGAGGAATCCTTTTAGCTGAGAGCAAAGACAAAAACCTCACTACCAAAGGCCAGACTTCCCACATGCTGCTTTAATCAGCCCTTTGCCTGACCTGGCCCCAAATCCTACGACAGAGAGTAGTTAAGACACTTCGACTGGCAGAAGCTTTTATCCACAGAAGACTATGCATCACTCTCATGAGATTCTGTTTTCAAAGATAAAGGTTTATTTGAGAATGTAAGGAATTAGTGTCTTTTCTTTCCTAAAATTTATGGTGTTTATCACATGTGTACAAAATGTACCTTCAGTTTAAGACTTTAGACCAGAGACTAGGAAACCCTGAAAGCTAGAGACCAGAGGCGTTTTCACTTTGGACTCTGCCTATTTTGTCAAGAGTCAAAAGGAGACCTTAGACAGCCCCTTTCCCTAGGTTTTGCTTTAATCTCTTAAAAACCCAAGTTTCGAATCTCACCTGTGCCTTCAAATCATATCTCTGCAGTATTGGCAGGTTCTCAGACTTCATACATTTAGATCATGTGTTTTTACTGATGACTACTTCTAATTTTTAAGTACCTGTAAAAAAAAAAACTTATAAAAATTTTTAAATAGACTCAAAACTAGAAAAGCACAGTGGACCCATCACAGACCAAACATCCATCAGCTGTATGCTGTTGTTACCTGATCTTTTCCCCACTCTGCTCCAATTTCGTTTTTCTTACATTTTAAACTGAATTATAGCTATCCTATTCTACCCAATAAAATCAACAATCATTCTTTAATATCTATTATGCAGGCTGTGTTTAGTTTCCCCTATTGTCTCAAAAATCTCTCTTGACTACTGATTTGTTCAAATTAGAATCCAAACAACATCCACACAGTGCATTGGATTGATGTATCTTTTGTGTCACTAGTCTCGAGCAGTTCACTCTCCTTTTTATGTCCATAACAAATGGGTCATTTGTCCGGTAGACTCTCTCCCATGCAGGATTTGGCTGCTTATTTCCTCCAGTGTTGATAACCGGTTCCTCTCCCCCTCATATTTCCTATAAATCTGTGGTTACATGGAGAGGCTTGATTACAGCCAAGTTCAGTTCTTCCCAGGAGATTCTGCACCCTTCTGTTACATTCTATTAACCTGGGGGAACATGACATCAGGCTGTCCCGCTTTCAGTGACTGATCAGAGAGTTCAGTGGTACCAGCATGATCTATCCCCTCACCCTTTCACAGAATGATTTTAGTAGCTGTGGCTTGAGGTCCCCAAGACCACCCTCAGATTGAGGCAGTAGACAGACTCACAGAACTCAAAAAAGCTATTGTCCTCAGAGTTACCATTTGTTACAGCTCAAGTTGGCAAAGAGAAAGGCACATGGGGAAGAGGGTCCGTACAAGCTTCTGGTTGTCCTCGCTTGCCGACGCTCCTGGTGTCTCTGACATCTGACATCTTTGCCTTGCTGACCCTGGAGAGACTGCCCCTCCTGGAGCTAGCCAGTCCCAAGCCCGCTTTCCCCGCCTGGCCCCTGCCGGTCCCTTCACACTGACGGCTCTTGCCCACATTTCCTCCTTCACCCCCAGAGCATCCTGACCTACCCTGGGGCTTCCACGTGTGGCTCCTCCTGGCATGGCCTGCCCCCTCCTCCTGTATTCCAGAACACTCTCCAGAGGGGCTCACACAGCGCAATGCTGGGGGGCCGTGACATCTGACCGGCAGTGTGAAGTATCACTGACGATCAGGGAGGCTCACGCGAGCCTTGGGTGCTGACACCCTCTGATACATAGGACAACCCCCCACAACAAAGAACTATATCCTGCCCAGGATGTCAGTGTTGCTGAGGTTGAGGAACCTGAACTAGGGATTATGAGGTGTTCTCTTTTTGTTTTTGGAGGCGCCCAAAGGCTTGTGAGATCTCAGTTCCGCAACCAGGGATTGAACTTGGGCCACAGCAGTGAAAGCCCCGAATCCTAACAACTGAACCACCAGGGAACTCCCAGATTGTGAGTATGTCAAAGTCACTGGAAACAGTTCCTCTCTAGTTCCTCTCTGCTCCACATCTATACACAGTTAATTTTGTTTCATTTCCCTTTCAATTTTTAGGGGGACTTTTTACCAAAAAAAAAAAATTATGCAAAGTTTAAAACAATTTTTTTTAAAAAAAAGGTACATTCAGAAAGGTCTTCCATCTTTGTCCCGTGACTTCTGTTCCTGCCCCCAGCAGTAACCATTTTTTCAGTTGGTGATCAGTTCAGTTCAGTCACTAAGTCGTGTCTGACTCTTTGCAACCCCATGGACACCAAGCCTCCCTGTCCATCACCAACTCCCAGAGTTTACTCAAACTCATGTCCATTGAGTTGGTGATGCCATCCAACCATCTCATTCTCTGTCGTCCCCTTCTCCTGCCTTCAGTCTTTTCCAGCATCAGGGTCTTTTCAGATGAGTCAGTTCTTTGCATCAGGTGGCCAAAGTATTGGAGTTTCAGCTTCAGCATCAGTCCTTCCAATGAATAACCAGGACTGATTTCCTTTAAGATGGACTGGTTGGATCTCCTTGCAGTCCAAGGGACTCTCAAGAGTCTTCAGCAACACCACGGTTCAAAAGCATCAATTCTTCAGTGCTCAGCTTTCTTTATAGTCCAACTCTCACATCCATACATGACTGCTGGAAAAACCATAGCTTTGAGTAGATGGACTTTTGTTGGCAAAGTAATGTCTCTGCTTTTTAATATGCTGTCTAGGTTGGTCATAACTTTCTTAGTTGGTGATAGACATTTCATATTCTTCCCTTTTGACATACTCTGTGAATAGAATATTTTGTATTTTTGCCAATGTATCTTTTGGGTAGAT